ATTTTCCCGTTATTTCAAAAAGTCCGGAAACTTCTTTTTGAATTTCCGAAATTCGTTATTTCAAGATTTGAAATTTTACGGGAAATCCCTTTTTTGTAGTTACCTTTTCAACTGCGCGTACTGTCATCTAAGTAATTCCGATAATTTTTTTACTTCCGGAACTCCCTGAACTTTGGAAGTTTTTTTTCCCGCAGTTCTATTATTCTTTATTCATTATTATTCCTTGATCAATCATTCGCAGTCCGGAAATTCGATTCATTTATTATCGGTAATTTCAAATTTGAGGGAGACTAGGAGACGCCCCTTAACTAGCAAACTCGAGATTGTTATTATTTTATCCTATCCCTTAAGGAGCATTGGCCGCAGGGGGAGGTCGGTGGTCCACTGCGCGCCGGATTCGGGGTTGAAGTTTTGACGAGGGTCGGCGGATGAACTTAATCCAGGGCGGGGGAGTGTGCACAGGGGCGCTCGTACCGAAATGTTCACAGCACGCCATGGAACGAGAGGCCGCACCTACGAGGCCGGACGACAGGCCATGTAGATGTGAGGGAATATCTCGAAGCGGCTGCCGTTGGATACGCGGGTTTGAAATATTTTTCTTTTTCGTTTTGGGTTTCGTTTTTTTTTTTTTTCGCGCGACCCGCAACGTCGGACAGCGGAAAAAAAAATATGGGCGTGTAGGGCTTTTTTCGCGCGACCCGCAACGTCGGACAGCGGAAAAAAAAAATATGGGCGTGTGCGCGAAAATATGCGAAAAAAAATCCTGCACCAAACTCGGCTGGTCGGCCGTGGCCGAACCTGGCCGATTTGCCCGACGGCCGCGGCCGCGGCCGATTTTTCGGCCCCGGCCGCGACCGGGGGTGCAATATAGGCCAGGGAGACTCGTGGGCGTCGCGACGGTTGGTCCTGGGGTACAAAGGGGCTACCCGATTCCCCGAACTCTGCCGCAATGCGGGTGTGCTCCCCGCCCGTTTTCGAAGTCCCACCGACTTGCCCGACCCCGGGCGAACTCGTGCCAAACCGATCGCACGGACTCGACGAGTCTGACAATGAGGCCTAACCCGCCTCCGGAGCATCGGCCCCCGAAAGGGCCGCACGAATCATGCGCCTCGGGGAATGGAACTCCGTTCTCGACGACCCCGCTGCTCCTTTTTTTTTCCTTTTGCCGAAAGCGCTGAGGATAGGGCCGCAGGGCCTCGTTCTCCCCCAATCCGCTCGGCGACAGCTCTAACCCCGTCCCGGCACCTCGGGCTGAGACAAGAGTCCCCCGTTCCGCCCGGGTGACTCAACCCCCACGGCCCGAAAATCCTCAGCCACGCCCCTAACAACTCTGATCGGTGTCCGAAGTAGGGGACGTTGCATGGGGCGTGAGGTTGCGCGTCACAAGCTGGGTGAGGCACTGGTGGTTTAGCAAAGAATGGTATTTAGAAAAATTCACTTGTAGACATTGGTACAATTAGTGCACAACAGGCTATGGATTGGGGATTTAGGGCCTCGCCGCACGGTGCACGAAACGAAAAAAAAAACGACTTCTTTTCGTGAAGCAGTCGCCGCATAGCACCCACACGACCTCTGTCAGGAAAAACTCATGAATGCTGTCAGTCTCCAAGTTCCCGAGCCCTCACGAGCGTGCCGACTCCTCCCTGCCTGCAGCACTCGCGAACTCGTAGGTCCTCCGCTGGTAGGGTGGAGGAGCTGCGAAATCTCATGAGTGTGCTGCATCGCTCCAACCGAGGTCCATCCAAAAACTTGGACCGTAGCGTCCAAAAATTGGACCGTAGCGAAGCGAATCCCGCACTACTCTCGCCAGGGCGTTGTCGCGAGAGTTTTCGTGTGTGCTGTGGGGCAGTGAGGCAAAAAACGAAGAGAAACGGTGGATCAGGGCTTTGCGAGGCCTCGCGACTCTGGTGATCGTTTCGTTTCGTTAGTTGTGCCGTGCGGCGAGGCCCTTAGTGGTGTAACGTTAACACAACGTAACAGGTTGAGGGGGCTCCTGGGATTCACGAAAAGCAGCACCCTACGAATCTGCTACGATGTTTATGATCCAAGAATTATGGCTGATTGGGCAGGCCGTGATACGGAAAAGGTCATGACCCACATCAGTAAGACAACATCCGACCACGAAATTGCGTTGGGTACTGTATACTGGCAAGCTTTTCTGAGGGCTTTGAGACAGTTTCCACCGAAGCCTGGCTCTGTTCGTACACGCATGAACTGTTGAAATACAAACCTAAGTTTCAGTCCAGACGATGGAACTTGATGAGGGCCGGCCAGCTCAATGACTGTATATAAATATATATACGGGGAAACTACGCTCAAGATACAGTTTTAAATTGCAGTTCCGGCAATGTATACAACCCAGCTTTCTGGCCAGGTAGGGTGCCTGAAGTGCAATTGCAAACTGTATCTTGCCCCCTAGTGCAATCATAACTCATTGTTGTGACTCTACTGAAGTTACCCCACATATATATATATATATATATATATATCGTCAAATAGAACTGCCCGGTAAACCGTAGGCAGAGAGGGAGAAGAGGACAACAAACGAGGGGCTGTGACAAACTGTTTCGTCGGAGTTTCACCGACTCATCAGGAGGCTATATACAAGAAAAGGGGTCCACTTTATTACTCAAACAGAGAAGTGAGGCCGGGAATTCCTCAATAAGCAATCCAGAAAACTGGGAAAAGTACTGGGACCATTACCCAGCTCTGATGCAGATGCAGAAATGGCCAAACCTGGGAGGCTGGACCAGTATCCTCTGTATTTATGTGTTTCATCCATGTGCTGGGCCCATGCTAATCTTCTCTGTATTTTCTGCCATGTCATGGAACATATAATTTCCCTTTCACTAGCTACCTACCACTACTCCTAAGGCTATACAGTAGACCCCTCCTAAGGCTATACAGTGGACCCCTGCAAGCATAGCTTTCTACCTCTCTTAGGTGAAGGGAGGGCTACACGTTTGCCCCGTTGCCGTAGCGTTTAGGGTACAGGGTTGGGGCCGCGGGTGGGGGGCCGCTAACATAAGGACCGAGCATTTTGCCAGAAACCTTCTCTGTATTGTTCCTTTTTTTCTTTTTTCTTTTTTGTGGGAGGCAGCACGGGCTGCCAGTGGCTGGGGAACGGGCCCAGCGTCGCTTATTAAAGTGACAGTGGAGGTTATGGGCCGGGGTTCCCACAGTCCACCCGGTGGTACCGGGCTTCGCTTGTTAGAAGGTACCAATCAGATCATAGACACCATTGTCACATCCTCGCTACCTAACTTGCACCAATTCCTGCTTTCAGGGCCACAATTGTAACGGCTGTCCCGAAGGACAACTTGATGGTATCTTTTTTATTTTTTATTTTTTTATTATTTTTTTTTATTATTTTATTATTATTATTATTATTATTATTATTATTATTATTTTTATTAATTGGCCGCCATCGCCCAGAAAAGAAGAGGGGAAAAAAGAGAGGAAAGAAGATCTAAAAAAGCACGCAACGCAATTACCAGCGGCTTTGATTGGCACGACGTAGGCCTGCGAGGCTGCGAGGTCTACACTCGGGGGAGAGCATGAGGCGGACACGCGCCTGTGTGTGGCCAGCCACACACTCTGGTCGTGGGCTCCACGCTCGGGCAGAGTTAACACGGGGTGTACCACTGGGCTGAGCGTGTCCCGATCACTCTCATCCCGTTGCATGCAGAAGACCCTTCATTTCTGGTTTTAAAATGGCCATAAACGTCCTCCACTGAGTGGAACGAACGGGCCGTTATGGCTGTGTTTGGGGCAGCTTTTGGATTCTCTAGATCGGTACAGCGATAATGACCAGTCGTTCTACGAGGGTGAAGAAGGGTGCTCTTTTTCTTTCGTGGGGGAAAAGAAGAGTATCCTTTTCCAGAAAGACGTGGCACTGTGGTGTGTCAAATAACAAGATATCCGAAAAATAATTAAAAGAAAATAAAAATAACATAAATAAATTAGTGGTAAACTCCCGTTAATCGGCTGGTGAAAGAAACGTTTCCATGCGTCTGTTTTTTGGCTTTTGCCGCTCTCTCTCTCTCTGTGTCTTTTCGGGGTACCCAAAGCACAGGTTGAGTAATGAGCGACATGTTGACGATGTTGTGAAAGCTTTTTGGGCAGAACAAAAAAGGACAAACAGAGACAAAAAAAAACAGGTTCATCACCATATGCCTGTCTTCCTAGGGCCTACCTAGTTGCACCACTTGCCTGCACCAACATTTTTTATGCATATGGACGTCAACTCTGTCCAGATGCCTTTAAAAGTCTGGCGGATGGCGAGGCGACATGCTGTAAAAGCTTTTTGGACAGAACAAAAAAGGACAAACAAAAACAAAAAGAACAGGTTCATCACCATATGCCTCTCTTCCCGAGGCCTAGTTGCACCAATTGCTGGCACCAACATTGTTTTTAATGCATATGAACGTCAAATCTATCCAGATGCCTTTAAGAGTCTGGCGGACGGCGAGAAGTGCAGCTAGGCCCCTTCGGGCATACTCACAGTCGCACTATGTTATATGTATCTCACCGCATTTAAGCCCAGACCTGGGACGTCCAGAAGCCAGTAAAAAAGTCCTGATGTGATCACGCCCTTGGAGGATAAGATAAAAGGCACACAGCACATTATCGATGGATCGAGCTCTGATGTTCTGGCGGACATATGCGCGAGTCCATGCACGGTAGGAGAGCACCGTAGCATGGCGGTGGACAAATTAAAAAGCGCTTAGATCCACGCTACCAAACTAGGTAGGTACGCACACACACACACGCAGAGAGAGAGAGAGCTGTCTCTTATACACATCTAGA